GTCTATGTGGATCTGTTGTATTTATGACATCTCGACTGCTCGCGCCACAGACGTAAATAACAATCGTCCAAAGTTTCCTGATTGTGACAAGTATGAGCCCGAAGTAGAAGAAAACAAGGATGCCAGTACGCTCGTACTAACGGTAAGCGCATAGCAGATCATTTGCATCATGTTTGCTGTGCTTGGGCTTATTAAAATACGTTTTCTAGGCAGAGTTAATCTTTAGCTAAGTTAATTAGGTAATTGGATAGCCAATAGGCGGTTAGTGGGCTACGAAAATGACGTCAGAAGCACATTTATCTCACTGCTTTGCAATGCCAACATTGTACCAGAAACGCGTACATGGCGCAGACGTACTGTGCGGAAGTATGGTACATGACTCCCAGCACTGTTGATCCGAGCGTGCGATCGATGAGGGCGCAGCTCAGAACAGGGCTAACCTCGCTGTGTTTGCCAGGTGAAGGCGACCGATGCTGACAAGGGAGCAAACGCCGACCTGGTCTACTCACTGGTGACCAGTCCGAGCTCCCCAGACTCGCTCTTCAAGATTGACAGAGAGACGGGCGTGTTGACCACTGCCAAAGTAGGCTCACTACTCGGGGGAATAAAGAATGAGACGCGACAAAACATGCTAAAAATGTCATCCTGATGACAGTGAAAGGGAAGACAATTTTGTCCGAATGTTGTGTGTCTCTGGACGTCTCGTGAGCGGAAATGCATTCGCTCTCGTTTTGAAAATAAGACGTTTGCGAATCATTATTAAATAATTTTCATGCCTCATATGTGCATCAGCGTTAAATTTTGTAACATTTGTGGTGTTTTTAATTCAATCTTACTACATTTTTTACGATATATATGCACATATTTTTACATTTACATCACTGCACATCTCACCTTTTGTATTACAGTATTTTGTAACACTTTTGACAATTCAAGGACAGTAGATGTGAGACATTCGGTGCTTTGAGAAAACCGTCTATGCATCACTGGCGAGTCCCTGTTTGGTAGCATTGCATACCATAGTGAATAGGGCGCGAAATGACCACAGTAGTTGCGGCGCCCTAAAACTCCAATCAACAACGAGCCATGGTGAATATATATCGTGGTTTCAGTTAGCTTATCCCCTGACACTTAATCCACGGCTGAGTACGAGCCCGAACTCGAATCGACTTTTGTTTTAGCAGCCTTCTGAGTACAAGATGCGCGCCGAGGCTCTGGAGCCGTCTCCGGGACCGGCGCCTTTGTTGACACCACCCCGTCCTCCCCTCGGGCAGAGCTTTAACCGGGACGCGCCGGACCACGACAAGGAGTTGCGCGTCATTGTGAAGGCCAATGACAACGGGGAGCCGTCTCTGGAGGGTACCTGCGCCTTCATCGTCAATGTCCTGGACGTCAACGACAACTCCCCACTGTTCGACAAAAGTGTAAGCACAGTCTAGTAATAAAAAAGGTAGTAATAAAAAAGTTCACAGCACAGTCTAGTATCTTGCCCTGTCGGCGGCCGCCGAAAGTAGCACTAAACAGTGTACGTGCCCGAAGCGGCTGCATCGAGAGGCTCGGCCCTTCTGGAGCCGATGTACCTCCACGATATGGCACACATGCCATAAACGCAAATAACCCACCTAGTCTTGACTATCATGTATTTCTTATGTTCGTCGACCGCTTGCTCTTTTCGTTGCGACTCGTCTGCGAGAGCATGTTTGTTTTTCAGCATTGGCGACTTCGGAGGCAGATGCATGTTCCGCTCACCGCTTATCCGGTTCATGAAGGAGTCAAAGCCCCCGAACGACGTGTAACAAAGGGAGCGAAATATTGGGAAAAGTAAAAATTAAATCGGTTTTGTGGGTTAACTCTACCCCTCCGAAGCTAGGCCATAGACCATAGTTTTCGAGCTCATTTTCTGAAATGCTGAGGATACTGCTGCATCCTTCTGAGATCAGGACGACGATACGATGCCGCTGCGTCTCTTGCCACAGGACTACCTGGAGACGATCGCCAAGGACACCAAGCCAGACACGCAGGTGGAGCGCGTGTCGGCAACGGACGACGACGTGGGCGACAATGGCGCCATCACGTACTCGCTGCGGGCAGTGCGGCCGACCGACGCGTCCGATTACTTCGGCATAGACAAGCGCACCGGCGTCATCACGCTGACCAGGCCACTCGTGGAGGTGCGCCGTCCGTGCTGGGTCCGCTGGCTGCCGGCTGGCCGCCCATCCGCACGGGGCGCAGACAATGTGGGAAATGCCAGGGTGGAGGAGGTGCATGGGGTCGCTGGGGGTCGGAGGGAGACACGCCTTTTCATGCAGACACAAGGTATTTGTCCGCATTATTGAACCTAGCGAGTGCTCCAATACCGTACACTTCCTGTCTGGCTCATATGATAATTTGGTCCAGAAATGTCATCACTGCTGTTGGGCTGGCTGACTGGATGTCTCGTCGATTAACCTTGTTTGTGCAGCTTGGTCAGACGTTTTCTTTTTCTGCTGACCTAGTTCGCCATCGACTCTGAAATCCGCCTGGAGGCGGTGGCCAGCGATCAGGGCGAACCGCCTCGGTCCAGCGAGGCGCAGGTCATCATCACTGTCAAGGACTCCAGCACGCGGCCGCCCTCGTTCATCGTGAAACCCGACCCAGTCTACACTCTGGATGAGAACTATCGCGACACGGAGACAGGCATCGCTCGACTCAAGGCCGTGTGAGTGTCCTCTGTCCTAGGTACCGACTGCCTGAAGTCAAGGCCATGTGACTGTCTTCTTCGGTGTGAGCCGACACCCACCCCCCGACTCCGGGTCGGAGCGCTCTTCGTGAGAGATAGGTGCCGCCAGCCGCGCGAGTCGTGCGGGCGTCCCCCGTCCGGAAACATTCGTCACCCGGCTAAATTCCGTGTGAGCGATGCTCCCCGCATTCGCTGACGAATGCTGCGCTCAATGCCGCGTCGTCGTCTCCAACATGAGACGGGTGTGAGCATTGCCCAACCTCCAGAATTTGCATAAAGCTGGTGCTGTGATGTAGTGTGATCAGCCACGGGAGCAGCGTTACATTCGTGACACTTCGCTGTTGGCTCTAGTATCATCACTTTATCCGTGACGTTTTGGAAACAACTTCGAAAACCTCCAAAACTATGATTTGTCTTTTGTGAGCGAAGACTGCTTACAGAAGTCCTCGTGATGATACGTCACGCTTTGTCTGTGGCAGGTCTAAGCTGCCGGGCAGTCCCAACGTCTACTACGACGTCGTGAGCGGCTCCCAGGAGCATACCAACAAGTTCCGCACGTTTGTAGTGGACGAGGACGGCGAAGGTGGCGCTATAGTTCGATACGGCGGAAGTCGGCAACTGGACTACGAGCAGATCAAGGCGTACAATATCACTGTCGAGGCCACGGTAAGCAGGGTGCTTTCTGGACATCACCTGCGACTGTTGGCAAACTAGATAACCAGCCTATGCGGCAAACTTCCAAATAAGTGTGTAGTACAGCCTGCCATACTCGGTCCCTGTGAACGACGCACAGGCGTAGTAGTAGGTGAGAGCCGCTGCGTTTCTTGTGACTGAATCCCTGTACTTGTCAGACGGACCAGCGAACCAGAGCAGAGGTCACGTTCGAGATTAGGCTACGAGACAAGAACGACGAAATTCCTATATTTTACGGCACTGACCGAGCGATGGTCCCCGAGAACTCACCACCGGGTACCTTTGTGGAGGTGGCGACGGCTGTGGACGGTGACAGCACTTCACCCAACAACCAGGTCAGTCTGTGGGAAGGCAATGTCGACCACCGAGATTATGCTAGTCACCGAGATGCAGCACATTAATTACGAACTAAAAAGACAGAGTAAGGAGAAATGTCTTCCCATTCTCACGCTGTACCTCTTTCACACTGCACAGAGAAAGAGGTACAGACAGACACTTTCGCTGTCTGTCTGTCTGGCTGTCTGTCTGTCTGTCTGTCTCCCTCTTCATTTTCTATTTGGTTTTACTCTTTCCTCCCTGTCATTCCATTGCTCACCTCCTCACCTCAGGTTCTTTCTTCACCTAAAAATATGATTGCAAATGAGCTTTATCGTGAGATGCTGAAATAAGCAGTAAAACTGATTTGTCCTCTCTATCCTCGGGTGTTGGGCCTTCGGCCTCCCGTGCGATCATTGAGCACCCGTCTGTCGCGCAGGTGAGTTATAGCCTGGACCGAAAATCGCCCGAGTACCAGCTATTCAGCATAGAGTCGGGTACGGGCCGGGTGTCGACCCGCGTCAGGTTCGACC